TTGTAAGTACGTGGTCACAGACAAGGGAGCTGTATCATCGATATGCACAGACTGACTCCAGACTGTTTTCTTTGTCTGTGAGTGACTCAAAAGGCTCTGCTGAAACACAGACAAACTAAAATCCATCTAAATTTGGCAAAGAGGGGATCACAGGAGAGAAACAACAGCAGAACACTGCAGAACTGAGCATTGTAGAGGAGGCTGCATAAAGAAGGATTACAAATACAGCAGGGTGTCAGTGCAAGGTTAGATGATGTTACCTACAGATGTCGTTATATCTTAGTTTAGTCTGCCTACATGTTTTGTAGTACTGGATTCTAACCATAGTATGTCTTTCATTCCAGCTCCATTCAAATCACCTGATTTTTAGGAAGCCTGACAGCTTTTCTGCTTTCACAAAAAACAACCTGACTTGAATGAGACAGCTGTCCTTATTTACTGTGCTATATTTCCAAAAGATTGGCCTTTTGATGATCTCCTCCAAGATTAATGGTGACTAGAGTATTAGAGCCGGATAACAAAGAGGGAGACATCTGAGGTCAGCCATGTTGTTGAGTGGTAAAGCTGTTGGCAGCATAGAAATGATGAAAGAGCACCCCCAACGTCTCCTTATGAATGGTTCATTTATTTTCTTCTTTTTATTTGCTTTGACTGAGGGTCAAGGATTCTAGCCGTTATCATTCCAGAGTGCTTCCACTGGGCTGCACCTCTGCTTCCTATACTGTAGAACAGGGGTTGGCAAATAAGTCTGGCATTGGGCCAATTTTTTTTCAAGCCGTTACATGGCTTGCCAGAACATAGTCAACAAACATCGCTATAATGACTTATGCATATATTTATAACACGATATAATGCGTTTATAAGACATTATAACAGTTGTTATAATCACTTACAAAGATGCATTAGGCGCTATAGCAAAGTTCATAATGTATTATGACCTTTTGATTTAACATTTTATAACTAATAGTAATAACAGTTTATATCAATGTACGCCAAGAATCTCCAACCATGTTCCATAGTACATTATAACCATCGACTCTGCCTCGTGATAAATACACTTTTGTCACAATTTAGAATTAGTGCTATAAAATGGAATAATAGCTCATAGTAATGTTTAATTTTATATAGCATGTCTTAGCATGTCAAGAGATTCCCACCCCTACTGCCCAACCATTATTCCTATTCAATAACTTTTAAATGTCCTTTAATACGTTTTGTGAAGCGGTTGTCTCCAATTGTCCACTGCATCTGTTAGGACCTGTCCATAGGCTCGCCATTCATCTGCGCCTCTTCTTACATGATGTAATATGGTTGGCAACAGGTCTTCTCTTGAGTGATCTTTCACCACCCCGAGAAGGAGTTTCCTTGATGTAATTAAGTTGTGTTTTTGTTCTAAACTGAAAAATGTTCAAAATTCATACAGATTTTTCATAAAGTGAAGAAACATAAATAAATAAAATTTTCCTGCGCAAAATGTGTGTCACTTTACTTAAAGAGGTGGTATTATGCTCATTTTCAGGTTCAAAATCTTAATTAGGGGTTGTACCAGAACAGGTTTACATGATTTAATTTTCAAAAAACACCATATTTTTCTGTGTTCTCTGCACATTGCTGCAGCTCCTCTTTTCACCCTATGTGTTGTACGCTCCGCTCTTGAGCTACAGATCTTACTTCTGAATTACTGAGAGTTGCACATGCGCAGTTCCCAGGTAAGGACTACTAGCCAATCAGAAGCAGAGAAGGGCGGGTCGTAAGAAACAAGGTAGTGTGATCCAAATCAAAGCCGCTTCACCATAACCTAGCAGATGGTATAAGTTACTCTCAAGTCCACAACCACACAACATCATTGTTCCACATCTTACCATCAGGACTAAACTTTGAACTGTTGCCGGTGTTGTGACGATCTATGCTGCCTTGCCGAAAAATGCAACCATAGCGCAAATCGATAAACTCGACTACTCGGTCCTGCTCCGTTTTCCATTGCAGACAGTACCCAGAGATAGTACGTAGCTTGTCGTCATAGCCACGCCACACACAACTGCTGCAACGTAATGTTCAATGCGACACACACACCAGCTCTTAAAATATATCTACGGTTAAAACGTTTCAACATTCCTCAGAATGTAAAGACATATAAGCGGTATGAAAGCCTTCCAGCTGTGTTTTCCTCTGCCGTTGTTGCTGCAGCGGTCTGTGTGACGGCGGGAGCAGAGGGCTCTGTGAGCGGGCGGCTGGCCGGCCTCACACGCACCTCCCGCGGGTTGGCACAGGCTTCCCCCGCAGCCACTTGCGGAGCTCCTCAACTCCTCCTCAAAACTGTAAAACTTTCTGTTGCTGGCCTCCGTCGGCGCACGCAATGGTGATGTAGTGAATAGTGAATATTCTCTCTGACCAAACAACAGTCTGTCATGTTTTCACATTACATTTTAGTATCCCTCAGCTCGCTTGGAACCTCGACACAGGTGAGGTGATATGAAAAAAACTAACCTGGAAGCAGGTACAGGTGCAACATTTCTACAACGGAAAACCAAACAAAGGCGAGTTGAGCCAAAGGGCCTCCGCTCAGACTAGCTTGGTTTGAGGGCGTGCCTGACCCCACTAGCCGCTTGGCAAGCTTTATGACGCGTTTTCATTGTGACGTCATAAGTAAAGGAAGTGAAGGGCTGGACTACAAAGGAGCTGTTTTCAAGCGGTTCAGAGCAGAGCTTTCTGTGGGAGATGGGAACTCCCTTCGGGCTGGACTGGGCTTTTTCACTTTGCAAACCTGTTACATGCACAGAAAAGATATTTAACTCAATAAATGAGAGGGAAAAAGCCAAAAAGCACAATACCACCTCTTTAAAGCAAACAATTACGTGTTATAAGGTCTTATAATTAGTTCATGTGGTATTGTGTCCACCTGTAGTATATTATGTAGGGATGGACATTTTCACACTTTACTTAAAGCAAACAAAGAAATACTATATAACATTAAACATTACTATAAGCTATTATTCCATTTTATATCACTAATTCTAAAATGTGAGTAAAGTGTATTTATAACCATAGACTGTATATAAAAAGTTTATAACGAGGCAGAGTCGATGGTTATAATGTACTATGGAACATGGTTGGATAATACGTTATGAACTTTGCTATAGCGCCTAATGCATGTTTGTAAGTGATTATAACAACTGTTATAATGTCTTATGGACGCATTATATCGTGTTATAAATATATGCATAAGTTATTATAGCGATGACCTTCATAGAAAGTGTTACCAAATTTTTTTAAAATCCTTGGATTCATGTGAGCATGTTTAGCTCAGACTACTGACTGAGCTAAACATGCTCACATGAATCCAAGGATTACAGTTCTCCCGATGGGAGGGTTGAACGATCGATTCCAAATAATCTAAACAAACACACATGACACTTTTGCTCATGCTTACAATAAAGCATGTGCTGCAGTGATGTGTGCGCGTCCCGGCATTTGATCCGCATTCATAAACCTATGGATGCTTATTTTCATTTCCCTGAGGAAATTCAGGGGAATCCAATCACACGTTTACTGACGGCTTTTTCAGAGGTGTGTAAAGCAGGCCAGAGACTCGATAAATAAACTCGACATAAAGCATTGCTGCAAAAAAATATTCTCGCACATTTATTTTGGAGGCACAATCACTTAAGAGGAAGTGATTGTGTGTCATGACTGAGATCTATTTCAGCACCAGCCGCTATAAATTTATTTATTTTTCTGCTATCAAAGCAATCTGTCCGCAGGACAGATATTATACCATATTATACTCCCATATACAGTATAAACAGGCATTATCATTATCATGCCTATAATGCCTGTTTATACTGTATATGGGAGTGTAGTGTTGACATTAGTAACTAACAAAGCCCTGTGGCTCCTCAAACACCACATACACAAAAACACCTAACGGTGAATTTACTGTATGTTTTACAGTGAAGACTGTGTGTGTCAGTATTCTCCAGCAGCATGACACATCAATAAATCAGAGCTTGAGCATCATACATTTTTTTGCATTCGTTTTTTTTTTATTTCGTTTTAGTGGCTTTGGTATTTTTGCAGAATTATATTATATAATAATTGGCATGTCTAATGCATATGATAATTATAGTATAGTATGTAGTAGTAGTTAGTAGTGTAGTAGTTTTAATGTACTGTATGTAACACCTTTGTATGTATACAAAAATTTGAAATAAGTATTTCTATTTAATTTTGTTGGTTTTAAGTATTAGTTTGTTGTGTGCATACATAGAAACATATAATTGTGCACACACATACAGTACATAATCATGCATTCACACACCATCAGTGTCTGTAGCACCTTTTTCTTTCATCTGTGGTTTCCTTGTTTCCCCTGCTGTTTCTCTCTTGTCACTGGTTTAAAGGAGCTAGCTATATGTAAGAATTTATTTTCAAAACTAAAAAAAACTAAAATTATGAACAGAACGTGAAGCACTCACAGTTATGACATTGTCATGTCATGACATCTATGTATTGTGGTCACCTGCCCAGTTTTCCAAACTCCCTGTCCAGGCAGAGTCAGCTGACTGAGCTAATTAGCTAACAGCTGCTCCAGTTGAATAAAGCTTTACTCTGAAAATGTTTCAGTGGCAATCCAGATCCAGATTATCCAGCCAGCATGGCTCAACACTTCTCGACAATGATCACACTCTCAGTTCTCCAATATCTTTAGAGAAGCAGTATGCTAGTGAAAATGATTTAATGTGCTTCCAACAAATATGGAGTTAGTATATTATGTCACATTGCTTTTTGTCTTTCAAGAGACACAGACTGTAAGAGGTATGACCAAACACAGGAAAAGCTCTATCTTGTTGGGTGTTACCTTTAAGAGCCAGGATAGCCTTAATGTATCCGTCTCCATTTCCTTGTGTGTCTGACCTCGGTGCCAGCTGTTCCCTGTGGCTGTGTATTTGTGCTACAGCACTATGGCCTTTGAGTAACCTGATTGTTGTGTGTCCCTGCAGTACAAACAGGTGGAGCAGTACATGTCCTTCCACAAGCTGCCAGCAGATATGAGGCAGAGAATCCACGACTACTACGAGCACCGTTACCAGGGCAAGATGTTTGACGAGGAGAGCATCCTTGGAGAGCTGAATGAGCCGCTCCGAGAGGTGAGATGAGTGTTCCTGTCTGTGGTTAGAATCTCCTGCGCATGCGGCTGTGATGCATCCAAAAGCTTGTGCACGGCTTGACATTTCCCTCAGTTCAGTTTTTTTTCTTCAGGCCAAATCCAAACAAGAGTAAAACTGAGAGGAGCTCAGAAAAACAAAACAAAAAGCACAGCTGACATTTTTCATGTTGTTACTCTAATATTCCTCTTGTCTGAAATTGTGACAGGTCAATGCATTCTGTAAAGCACCAGCTCTTTTCTGCTGTTCTTGCTGACCACTTTCTCTCTGTGTTTGCACAGGAAATCATCAACTTTAACTGTCGAAAGCTGGTGGCATCCATGCCTCTGTTTGCCAACGCCGACCCCAACTTTGTCACCTCCATGCTCACCAAACTGAGGTTTGAGGTGTTCCAGCCTGGAGATTATATCATCAGGGAGGGCACCATCGGCAAAAAAATGTACTTCATACAGCATGGGGTTGTCAGCGTACTAACCAAAGGCAATAAAGAGACCAAGCTTTCAGATGGTTCCTACTTTGGAGGTAAGACGAGCTGGTGCTTCACCAGAATCACAAACTCAAAGGTCACATACGCACACATGTTACTGTGGAGCTTAAATCTGCTCTGTTTTAATATTAATAATGCTTAATAGTTTACATGGTAAATAGTCCTTTTGCACCTTAACAGCTTGGCTTGGGTTTGAATTTTGATATGTTAGACAACAGCATTTGGATATTGCAATTCTGGCTCTGATATTCACTCGTCGTGAGCATGAAGTGGTATGTTGTGAAGTGCTTTTCACCTCACTTAAAATTCTGCTTCATGGTTTATGCAGGACTTTTCCCTTAATTCACACCATGAGCTGTCTCTTAAATGTAGGGCAAACCCAAATTAAGAAAACAGTACTTGCTGCACAAATTAAGAAATATGCATTTAAAGGTCAGAGGATTCAGGAAGCTATGAAATTACATACTATATGAATGCTCAAGACTTGTGTGATAACCCAGAGTTGTTATGTACTTAACTCGTGTTATGTTCTTAATCAGGGTCAGATAATGCGTTGGCCTCCCATGGTCCCATAGAGCCTGTGACACATGTAGGAGACAATGCTGCCGTACTGTCCTCACCAAATACCAATTAATTTGCCCAGTGACAGCGTATCATTTAGACTACACTGTTAAGTAATGAGAAATGGTGGCAGAGCATTTAACAGCACATGACCTGCCTGTGGAAGTTTAATTACGCCTTGCCTGCTCAAGTCCATCTCCATGCCCTCTCTCCAGGGGGTTCCAGAGAAATAATGAAAGGATGGCAGGCAATCTATCTCCACACATGCCAAAACTAATCAACATTTTAGACAACATGGCCCCAGCTCTCTCTAGGGCCATGTTGTCTCAAATGTTGTCCAAAATGTTCCCTCCTTCGGTCCCCTCTCAAAGAGAGGTTCAGTGAGCTTACAGGCTTGTTTCTAGCACATCCATCGTGGTAACGGCACAGTTTGTGTGACTGCTTGGGCATTCTGCCGCTCAAAGACACTGAACTGAGTGTACTCTTGACGACAATGTCATCTAAATGCATTAGAGTGAATGCATTTTATCTCCCTTAGTAAACTGAGTAAACATGAGTAGTGAAACCCACAGAAGTCCAAATGCACTGGTTTTGGAACAGAAACTGGCTTTATCGTTTTAACCTTAAGCCTTGCATCTGTAATTATTTTCCCCTTTTGCGCATTAAAGGCACAAGGCTTTTGACTCCATTATCATGTGACTATTCCTGGCTACTTCTCTGGGGGGGGGTAAGGTGGGGGCTAGTGAGGTAAGCCTAGAGCCACTGGGAGTTTGTTACCAAACACGAGTTAGTCATTCATGAAATTAATTGGTGCAGGATCAGCACAGGGAGTATGTGGCACATGTGCATCTCAGAGAGGCTGTCAGTATCAGCAAGTAGGAAGACAAAAGTTTTTGTTAAATATATATAAGTGCAGAATACGAGACCTGTTCCACATGGATTGCTAGGTTTAGACTCTCTATCGTGCACGTGGATGTGTGAGCATGAGAATGAAGAGCAGCGGCCGTCCAGTCGTCAAACACAGCATGCTCCAGTTTTCCGTACAACAAATGACATGCGTATATGCTCATCAACATCTCAGCAAACTCGTAACGCTTTCATTCATAGACAACCTGAATTATTTACACAATTATATACTCAGCAGTCTGCTCCAGTTTGTTAGCTGTTGGATTAGCTCGAGCCAGAGAGCCTAAAGTCTAAAGTGGACACGACATGTCCTGGATGGGAGCGTCGGCTGGGCACACAGCGATCCAGTGGAGAAGGGAAATGTAATGTGACTGCAGTACTAACGCCAAGGGACACATGGATCACTGCCAAGCCCGCTCTCTGGATGCTACTCTGGGCTCAGAAAGAAAAACATGCACCCTCCACCCCCGCCTCCACTTCCCTCTTTCTCTCCTTATAGTTCAGTATTGAAACACTTATCTGAACAGCATCTCCGCTGCCCTCTCAGTGCCCAGACAGAGCAGGTTATTGTGTTGTTATAGTTCATCCTTTGTTGCCTGCAGTAATTGATGTGTTGCCAGTGAAGACTGAGCCTCTCTCTTGGTTGGAGTAGAGCTCAGTGACCTTGTGGTGGCCCTGCATGCCAGTCAGAGGTGCTTATCAAAAGCTGCCTTTGATTGGACCTCTAAGATGGCTCACTTTGCCTCTGAGTGAGTGGCTTGTAGCAGTTCTGTGAGTGGAGGGTGAAAAAAGACATAATCAGAGAGTGGGAGGGGGTTGAGTAGGGGTGTAAGTTGACTGCACAGTTTGCAATCTCCTGTGTCATCCTTTTGGCTTTACTTAGTCTCTGACTGGTTTTCTGTGAGTGGTGCTCTCTTATAAGTCTTGGGTTAAGGAAATAATACTTTTCCCATCCCCAACATTATTTCACTTTCTTATGCCTTTTTCCCCCCTCTCTGAGCTCAGACTGGCTGTGCTATAGAGCTGCCAAATGGCTACCTTGACTGAGTGAGTCAGTGAGAGCAGCTGGCAGCAGCAAAGGCCCAGGTAATCTCCCGGCCCTTAACCCAGTTAACACCCCTGCACCTCTTATTCTGGAGAAGCATCAGCTGAAGCATCAGCTCGAGACACTTCAGCAGTTGACTGAGAGACAGAATTGGGGGTATGATGATATATAGAGTAGTCTTATATAATATGACATGGGAAACAGGATGGGTTGATGTACACCTGCTATGATGTTTTTTTGATACAACATATGATGTGATACGACAATATAATAGAGACATTGTTGGGCTGCATCATCCATGCACTGAGGGTGCATTTGACTGGATAGGGAATATGCTGTGATGCCACATAATACACAACATAAAAACACAAGTACATAGGTGTTTTGGATAGGTCAAGGGCATCACACAATAAATGAATTGCATACAACAGGAGGATAATTTATCACAATGGTTCCTTTTATTGGCCAGAGTGATACTTTTAGTAGCAATGACTGTACCAGCATCCAACTATGTCGCCATCATCAGCTGTGTTCTCTGATAAACACAGGAAATGAGAGACTCTCTGACAATGATTTTCATTAGTACTGTCTGTCAAACATGAAACTATGAATCTGTTTTAGAAAACCAAAGTCAACATTGCACACATAATTCAAATTTAGCTTTGAGCAATTTTGGAGAGAGCTATTATTATTGGGATTTGTTTTACTTTTGTCAACTAAAAAGACTTAATTTCAAGTCTAATTTTCAAATAATGATCAGTTGTGAAGCTTTTTTCAACAAACACAGTGGTGCTTTGAGTTTAAATGCTAATGTCAGCATGCCAACAGGCTCACAATAACATTGCTAACATGCTGATGTGTGCAGGTATAATATTAACCGTGTTCACCATGTTAGTTTTGCATGTTAGCATTCTAACATTTGCTAATTAGCTCTGAATGAATGTCATTATTTTATTTATTTTGCAGTTATTTAGTCATAAACCAAGATATTGGACAAAATTTAATTTCGACCTGATGGTGGCTCTAGATTAAAAGTTAAAGGATAATGTTTTTTAAACCTGGCCTCTGGGGACCAAATGTCTGTAAAAACTGTGATACATCATCCAATAGTTTGTTGAGATATTTCAGTTTGGGCCATTGCAATCCTTAGAGCCATGTATTGTTGGCTAAATGTTATTAATAGAACAATGGAAATGCCAGTAATGACTATATTTGTGTATGTTTAGATTTATATTTTGAAAAGTACAGTATGCCTTTGTAACTTTAGGCTTATTAAAACAAATATGGATTGATTTGTGGATTTGCATCTGTACATACCAGAATACAGAAACATCTTCTGGTCCTAGAAAGTTGTTTAATAGTGTCTATTTTCCCTCCCAACACAACCATCCTCAGTTCAGGGGGTGAAAACGAGACAATGAGATGTGACGGGACCCCAGCATCAGCCACGATGCTGAAAACCCCAGAAATCTCCTACCTATCTAAGCATGCTAGCCAAACGGAAGGTGTTTGCGCAGCTATGCTAATGCTGTGAGGGAGTGAGCATGGCATGTCACGGGAAATCAGACAGCCCACTGTGGATGTTTCAA